TGGGAGTGGGAGGCACATGACCAGGGGGGTGCCTCTTTTCTGCCTTGCGCTGTGCTTGGCATGAGCTGAGAAACGGAGCCCCTTCTGCCCTGGACGGACAGAAGGGCCTTGGTGGGAGACGAGGGGAAGGGGGAAGAGAGCCCGAGGGTCCCTGACCTTCCAGGAGCCCCTCTGGGTGGCCCGAGAAGGAAGACCCTCTCCCCAGCCCGAGGCTCAGCAGAGGGGTCGGGCGCTGCCTCCCTCCGGCCCTGGAGGGCCACAAGGCCCACGCCAGGGTTCCACTCGGGAGCATTTCCGTTCCTCTGCCCGGCATCCAACCTGGGACCAACACTCAGAGGGCCATGCAGGGACTCTTCCCTGGACTGTAGCACCTGTCAAGGCCGGACTACAACACCCACCATCCCCAGCCCGAAGGGGTGTCATCCCTGCCATGGTTCCTGGGCCTAGGCGTTTTCCTTGCCTCCAAGCCTTGGGAGTGTGGGGGGGGCAGTTTCTGGGCATGGCTTCCCCCCCCCGATGCCCTGCTGGGGGTGCCCCTCTCCTCCTCCTCCTCCTCCTCCTCACTCTCTGCTCTGTTTCCCTTCCAGGCGCCAGCTATGTTTTCATGGGCAAGGTGGATGCCAGTGGGGAGGGCCTCCTGCCCCCCAGCAGCTTCGTGGTGCCTTTCCGCCAGCAGCAGCACCAGGTCCTCACCAACTTCGGCAAGCGCCCGTGTGCTGCGCCCGCGGCCAGGAACAGGAGCTGAAAGTGCCTGCGGAGGAAATGCGGTGGCGGTTGGCGCGCTTTTTTCCTCCCTCTCCTCCTCGGCCCACCTGGCCTTGCCCAGCGATGGACGGAGCCCTCCACAATGTCGCCGCTGACTCCAGAGCTCAGTCCGTAAAGCAGGGCAGGTGGGCTGCAGCCTCCCTGTGTGCTCGCTTGCGTGCGTGCGCGCGTGCAAGGGGGAGTGGTGGTGCACGCCTCTGCCGGCTTATTTACTGTCCTGCCTTTAAAAAGTCCTCTTTTACAGAGTTGGTCTGGCCTGTTTGTGCACAGGGACCTGAGGGCGGGCCGGGCAAGCCCTTCTCTCTGGGTGTGCGTCCCCCTCCCTCCTTCCCTCCCTCCACTTTCTTCTGAGGCTGGGCTAACCCTTGCACCTTTGCCACGTGGCCTTGGACGTGGCAGATGCACTGAGCACTCAGAATGACATGCCACCACTGTGTGAGGATGTGGTGAACTTCTTTCACTTTCTTGTGTGAGGATGCACAAGAAGATCATGGGTAGGGGGGGGCCTTTTGGATGCATTTGGGGGTGGACGGGAGCTGGTCAAGAGACAAACCAGCCAAGAGGCTCTGGGGGGGGAGGGGGGCCCACCATCACCACCACTGCAGCAGCCTTGCAACGTGGCATCCAGAGTGGCTCCAGGGTGAAAGCACCTTCCCCCCCCCCGGTATGAGTGGTCTTGGGGTACAAGGAAGGCCAGTGGGTTTTGCCTAAGCTTCTTGTGAGCCTTTGTGGGCTGAAGCCTCCCAGCAAGTGAAGGGGGGGGTGGCAGTCAGAGATCCATGCACACAGGGATGGCGGTGCTGGAAAGCGAGGTGTAACCAAGCAGCCAAAGGCCCCAGCCTAATTTGGGCGAGGGGATTAGGGGTCCCTTCCCATCATGGGGAGATGATGCATATGGGAGAGATTTTCAAGGTGACTCTGCAGGAACCCTTCCAGGCCACTCTTTACACAGCTGGGGGGGGGGGGGCAATGCCAGTGGGCAAGGGGATCTCCCAAGAGGGATTCCTCCCCCCAGGGCCTCCCCAGGCCTGGAAGTGGCCAGAAAGGCCCATTTAACAAAAGGAAGAGCGAGGGGCGAAAAGAAGCGCCTGGAGAGGCACCGGTCTCCGTTTGTATTGCAGGAGAGGGTCATGAGTGCTGTTTTGGTGGGAGCCCCCAAAGCCCCATAAGGTGAAACCTGCCCCCCCTCCAGGAGCAGGGAAAAACTGGTCTGGGATGGCCTTGGAGAGAACACCAGAAGACCTGTGGGTGGGTGGGGGGCTTTCTGTGGCCCACCCCCAC